GAATGGATGAGGAAGCTGTGGTACATATACACCATGGAATATTACTCAGCCATTAAAAAGAATTCATTTGAATCAGTTCTAATGAGATGGATGAAACTGGAGCCCATTATACAGAGTGAGGAAGGCTTTCTTATCTCTCTTTGCTATTCTTTGGTACTGCATTCAAATGGGTATATCTTTCCTTTTCTCCTTTGCCTTTCACGTCTTTTCTATTCTCAGCTATCTCTAAGTCCTCTTCGGACAACCATTTTGTCCTTTTGCATTTCTTTTTCTTGGGGATGATCTTGATCACTGCCTCCTGTACAATGTCAGGAACCTCAGTCCATAGTTCATCAGGCACTCTACCAGATCTAATCCCTTGAATCTATTTGTCACTTCCACTGTATAGTCATAAGGGATTTGATTTAGGTCATACCTGAATGGTCTAGTGGTTTCCCCTACTTTCTTCAGTAAGTCTGAATTTGGCAATAAGGAGTTCATGGTCTGAGCCACAGTCAGCTCCTGGTCTTGTTTTTGTTGACTGTATAAAGCTTCTCCATCTTTGGCTGCAAAGAATATAATCAGTCTGATTTCGGTATTGACCATCTGGTGATGTCCATGTGTAGAGTCTTCTCGTGTTGTTGGAAGAGGGTGTTCGCGTTCTCTTGGCAAACTCTGTTATCCTTTGACCTGCTTTGTTTTGTACTCCAAGGCCAAATTTTCCTGTTACTCTGGGTGTTCCTTGACTTCCTACTTTTGCATTCCAGTCCCCTATAATGAAAAGGACATATTTTTGGAAGTGTTAGTTGTAGGTTTTTGTAGGTCTCCATAGAACCAGTCAACTTCAGCTTCTTCAGATTACTGTTCGGGGCACAGACTTGGATTACTGTAATATTGAATGGTTAGCCTTGGAAACAAACAGAGATTATTCTGTCATTTTTGAGGCTGCATCCAAGTACTGCATTTCGGACTCTTGTTTACTATGAGAACCACTCCATTTCTTCTAAGGGATTGTTGCCCACAGTAGTAGATATAATGGTCATCTGAGTTAAATTCACCCATTCCAGTCCATTTTAGTAGGCTGATTCCTAAAATGTTGATGTTCACTCTTACCATCTCCTGTTTGACCACTTCCAGTTTGCCTTGATTCATGGACCTAATATTCCAGGTTCCTATGCAATATTGCTCTTTACAGCATCGAGCTTAACTTCCATCACAAGTCACATTTCAGAGCTGGATGTTGTTTTTGCTTTGGCTCTGTCTCTTCATTCTTTCTGGAGTTATTTCTCCACTGATCTCCAGTAGCATATTGGGCACCTCCCGACCTGGGGAGTTCATCTTTCAGGGTCCTATGTTTTCGTCTTTTCATACTGTTCATGGGGTTCTCAAGGCATGAATGCTGAAGTGGTCTGCCATTCCCTTTGCCACTGGGATTTCCCTGATAGCTCAGTTCATATCACTTACATATGGAATCTAAAATACAGCACAAGTGAATTTATCTTTGAAACAGAATGAGACAAAGAGAACAGACTCATGATTGCTAATGGGGAACAGATGTGGGGGATGGAAGAATTGGGAATATGGGATCAGCAGATGCTATTATATATTGAATGAATAAACAACAAGGTACTAATATATAGTACAGGGAGCTATATTGAATATTCTATACTAAACCATACTGGAAAAAATATGAAGAATACATATACATATATATATATTCAGTATATATATATATGTAGGTATATATTATATATATGTGTTTACAAGCAGAGTGATTCAGTATACATATATATATGTGTGCGTGTATATATATATATTTATTATATATATATACTGAATATATAAATTTCTGCTTGTAAACTAATTTACCAAAAACTAATACAACTTTGTAAATTAACTATACCTCAGTAAAAGAAATTTTGAAAAGGAGATATCAGAAAACTAAACAGATTTCTCTGGTGGTCTACTGGTTAAGATTTTCACTGCTATCACTTGTGTTCAGTCCCTGGCCAGGGAACTGAGATTCCACAAGCCTCATGGCATGACCAAAGAAAGAAAAAATAAACAGAATTGAGAAAACAGAATCTATATTAAAAAAGCTCCCATATACTATAAAGTTAAAGCTACATTTACATAAAATGTAGCAATATCAACCATAGGTATTTGCCTGTACAGATTTCTCAATAGGCAGGTCCCAGAGTTTGCTCAAATAGATGTCCATTGAGTCGGTGATGCTATCTAACCATCTCATCTTCTGCTGCCCTCTTCTCCTTTTCCTTTCAATCTTTCCCAGCATCAGGATCTTTTCTAATGAGTCAACTCTTCACATCTGGTTGCCAGAGTATTGGAACTTCAGCTTCAGCATCAGCCCTTTCTATGAACATTCAGAGTTGATTTCCTTTAGATTGACTGGTTTGATCTCCTTGCAGTCCAGGGGACTCCTAAGAGTCTTCTCCAGCATCATGGTTCGAAAGCATCAGTCGTTTGATGCTTAGACTTCTTTATGGTCCAACTCTCAAATCCATATGTGACTACTGAAAAAATCGTAGCTTTGACTGTATGACCTTTGTTGGCAAAGTGACGTCTCTACTTTTTCATATGCTGACTTTGGCTCTGAGTTTATCTATTTTAGATCTTAAAAAACTAGCTTTAGTTTTCATTGGGTTTTAGCTATTGATTTCCTGTTTTCTATTTAGTTACCTTCCAGTCTGATCTTTATTATGTCATTTCTTCTGCTTAACTTGGGTTTAATACTTTGTGATTAACATTATACAAATGTTTTTTCTTGAAAAGTGAATTTGACAGATTTTGAAACCCTGTACTCAACCCAGACTGTGTGTGTGTTTGGCATTTAGACAAGGACATAATACTTTGCTTCTAGCCAGATTCCATATAGATTGAAATATTTTGATTCTGTTTATAGTTAGTTGAAGGACATAGGATTTTCTTTTTGTTTTGAATAGTGATTTTTCTGCCTATTTATCTGCTGTGTTTCAAATTCTGAATGAAGTAAATTATGAAAGTACTTAACATTTCCATGCCAAACTCTCTATGAAATTTACCACATGTAGAGTTAAATATATGTGGCATCTGTTAAGTGGTGTAAAATATTTTTGTGAGAAATAAAATTTTATCCTCATTTTTAATCTTAGCAATCATTTAAGGGCTGTATAATATTTGCTTTGATTCAGAATGTAAGACATTTAAATTCACACATCTTCCCAAATGAGAAATCTCTAAGGTATAAGGAAGTTCTAGTGTTTTCATTTCTTATGTTTTAGTATATTAGAGTAAGAAATTCCTATGGTGGATAGAGTAGAATTTGTATTAGTCTTTTAGGTTGCCTTCTAAAGCCTGAGTTAGAATCAAGGAAATAAATTGCTTAACCGATTGAAAATTGTATTTAAGTATTAAAACACATTTGATTTACTCTGTAAATAGTAATTTTATTTTTTAACAGATGAAATTGGCTTGAGAATCAGTTTCTTTTTTAAATACTTATTTCTTATGCAATGTTCAGTAAGAAATGTAGGTATTATTAGAATTGGAATATTGTTGGAGGGATGTAATATTTATAGAACTACATGAAAAGTTTTTTCTTTGTTTACTTTTCTAATTGTTTAATGTTCCTTTTCTTTTAGATCCTTTTTGACCAAACCCAGAGATCAATTAAGGCACAACTTCAGAACTTTGTTAAAGAGTAAGTTAATTTCAGTGAAAAGAAAACAGCTATGATTACATCTGGGAGTTATCATTTGAGAGAACCTAGAATCATACTTTCAGACTTACTAAAAATATGGGAGTTTTTATTTGTTTTTTGCTTGGTGAATTTTATGTTGCATTTTTTTCTGAATTAACTCTGTAAGAAATCAGATTTCAGGCTTTCCCGTGAATAACTTATGCTATGGAATTTGTATTCAGGATACATAGCTCAAATTGTTACAGATAAAACAAATTTTTAATGTAAATGAAGAATCTGATGACCTTTAAAAATCAAAGCAGATACCAAAAGTGGTTGAAATACCATCAGTTATTCTAGTTATCTCCATATAGTATTTTCTTTGTGGAGATGATAATAAGATTTATGAGAATGAGTTATGAAGGTGCATAATAAGTAATGAAAACAAGCCTTTTGTGTCACAGTCATCATATTTTATGTGTGAAATAAAATGAAACTGGAAATAAAAAAAAAATCTGACCTTTCCAGGTGTGGATGTTTGCCTTTTCTACATTAATAATTTCAGTTTTTTTCTTTTAATTCCTGAGTGAGAATATATTACATATAAGGTTGATTAGGATACAGTATTCAGGTATTCAGTTCAGTTCAGTCGCTCAGTCATGTCCAACTCTTTGTGACCCCATGAACTGGAGCACACCAGGCCTCCCTGTCCATCACCAAATCCCGGAGTCTACCCAAACCCATGTCCATTGAGTCGGTGATGCCATCTAACCATCTCATCCTCTGTTGTTCCCTTCTCTTCCTGCCCTCAATCTTTTCTAGCATCAGGGTCTTTTCTAATGAGTCAGCTCTTCACATCAGGTGGCCAAAATATTGAAGTTTCAGCTTCAACATCAGTCCTTCCAATGAACACCCAGGACTGATCTCCTTTAGGATGGACTGGTTGGATCTCTTAAAGAGTCTTCTCCAACACCACAGTTCAAAAGCATCAATTCTTCAGTGCTCAGCTTTCTTTATAGTCCAACTCTCACATCCATACATGACTACTGGAAAAACCATAGCCTTGACTAGATGGACCTTTGTTGACAAAGTAATGTCTCTGCTTTTTAATATGTTGTCTAGGTTGGTCATAACTAATACAGGTATTACAAGCTATAAATTTCAGAGCTCATAATGCACTTCTGTCTTAGTAGATTAGAATTTGTTGTACTAGAGGTGATCTCTTGCAGATTGTTTATAAATTGTTTCATAAAATACTAATATTCAGAATGTCCTTATAGAATATATACATGAAAATTTGTCACTAAAGAGTTTAAAGTCTTTGCTAGGTATATTTTATTATAGTTGTTATTATTTTAAAGTTATTTGTCTTCAAGTTATTTTGCCTAATTCCTTGGTAGAAGTGAAAGCAAAGGGATGCTATGTATTTACCTAAGGTCATTAATGAATGGAGGCTTCAGATTTTCAGACTGTTACCCTTTACTGGTACATAAAGGGCTTCCCTTTTAGAGGGCTTCCCAGCTGGCTCATGCGTGCTCAGTCATATCTGACTCTTTGTGACCCTATGCACTGTAGCCCACCAGAGTTCTCTGTCCATAGATTTTCCAGGCAAGAATGCTAGAGTGAATTGCCTTTTTGTTCTTCAGGGAATCTTCCTGACTCAGGGATCGAACCCTCATCTCTTGTGCTTCCTGCATTGGCAGGCAGGTTCTTTATCTGTTGAGCTACCAGGGAAGCCCTCTAAAAGAATTATGTACTAGTAAAGGGTAATAGTATCCATTTCAATAGTCTGAGCTTCCCTGGTGGCTCAGATTGTAAAGAATCTGCCTGCAGTGTAGGAGACCTGGGTTTGATCCCTGGGTTGGGAAGGTCCCCTGGAGTGGGAAATAGTAACCCACTCCAGTATTATTACCTGGAAAATCCCATGAACATAGGAACCTGGTGGGCTACAGTCCAGGGGATCGCAAAGAGTTGGGCACGACTGAGCACACAGTATACCCAGTTCTTTTAGAAAGCATTATATGTGTGTATTTTAAGAATGTATTCCTGCCTTTTGGCCTACTAATTTTCTTGAATAAGAAATGAATGTTGTTTCTTTAAATGTGGTCTCTACCCTTGTAACATATACTATTCCCCAGTGGCTCAGGTGGTAAGGAATCTGCCTGCCAGTGGAGGAGACTCTGGTTTGATCCCTGGGTTGGAAAGATCCCCTGGAGAAGGCAGCCCATTCCAGTAGTCTTGCCTGGAGAATCCCATGGACAGAAGAACATGACAGGCTACAGTCCATGGGGCCTCAGAGGAGTCGGACAGGACTCAGTGACTAAAACAACAGGACCACCAATAACAGGAAATCCAGGACTTGTCTTAAGAAAATCCCTTAGATTTCCAGAGCTTATCCCCAAAACACAAAGAGTTATAATCTCTGGGAGAGGACCCTTGGAACTTGCATTTTTTAATAAGTTCCCTGTGGTATATACTACTGTTTAAAAATTATTTGGTTAGATATTGGTGTATGTCCCAAAATTTGTCTTTAGAAAAATTAACTTTGCCTTTTATGTTTCTGTAATGTTAATTTGATAATTTATTTTTTAATTTGAATTGTATAGATTTAAGTCAGGAAATGCTAACTGACTATATTAGGGAATATTATATGCTCATAGACTAATATATGTATTAGTTGGAAGTGCTATTGAGTATCAAATAAATAAATAAATAGAGCAACATAAGAATAAAATTTTAAATGTTATTTTGCTAAAGTGTTTGATCCAGGAAGTTTTATAAAAATTTCACTATTTTAATTTTTTTAGAGATCTCAGAAAATTCAAAGATGCCAAGAAGCAGTTTGAAAAAGTCAGTGAAGAAAAAGAAAATGCATTAGTAAAAAATGCTCAAGTGCAGAGAAACAAACAGCATGAAGTTGAAGAAGCCACAAACATTCTGACAGCAACAAGAAAATGTTTTCGTCACATAGCCCTCGATTATGTACTTCAGGTTTGTTTATTGTATGTTTTCAAAAATTGCTTGCTAAGCATGTTGTTGGGCTTCCCTCATAGCTCAATTGGCAAAGAATATGCCTGCAATGAAGGAGACCTGGGTTCAGTTCCTGGGTCAGGAAGATCCCCTGGAGAAGGAAATGGCAATCCACTCCAGTATTCTTGCCTGGAAAATCCCATGGACAGAGGAGCCTGGCAGGCTACAGTCCATAGGGTCGCAAGAGTCGGACTTAGCGACTAAACCACCACCACCAAACATGTTGTTTTTTTTTGAGTGATTGCATTGAAGGGAATAAATAATGATACTTCTTTTAGTTTGAAATTAAACCATGTTCTTTTGTGAAAAATTTTCATGTGTCTGGGTGTTTATCTGTGTATGCCCTATACATGTGTGTATACGTTAAGTTCTGATTTCTTCTCCTGCTCACTTAACATGATCATTTCTCCTTTTCTAAATATCATTAAAAGGATTATTAATTGCTATATTTTATTCTATGGATATACTGTGTCAATTTAGTTATATCCAGTTATTAGTTGTATAATTGTCAGTTCTTGCTGGCAATACTGAAAATACACTTTTCAATAAATATAAATGATAATAATATCTTTGTATACAAATCTCTTGCAACATTTCTGATTATTTCTTTAGAGTAGATTCTAGAGATACAAAGGGCTTACCATATTGCCAAATGGAAAATATTTCTAGAAATAATGTTCTCATATTTGCATTGCTGCTAAGTCACGTCAGTCGTGTCCGACTCTGTGTGACCCCATAGACGGCAGCCAACCAGGCTCCTGTCCCTGGGATTCTCCAGGCAAGAATACTGGAGTGGGTTGCCATTTCCTTCTCCAGCGCATGAAAGTGAAGGGTGAAAGTGAAGTCGCTCAGTCGTGTCAGAATCTTAGCGACCCCATGGACTGTAGCTTACCAGGCTCCTCTGTCCATGGGATTTCCCAGGCAAGAGTACTGGAGTGGGGTGCCATTGCCTTCTCCTATATTTGCATTAGGTGCTGCTTTTTAAAAGTAGAGATGGATATTTGGTAAGATGCCAGGTGATATAAGACAGAGAAGTCCCTATAGATTGTTGACTTAACAGTGGTCACAGAGTATTTTGTAAAAAAAACCTGAAGTAACCATGTTGCAAATTTGTGTTTAGAAACTACCCAGATAACTTTGCAAAAATAGTAGAAAATGACCTTAGGATTTTTTTCTATTAAGTTCCTATTCAGTAAGCAGGAGGATAAATTTTAAAAAGTACAGTCTATTAATTAAAGACTTCTAAAATGGAGTAGTCTGTATTTCCTATTTCCTCTTATCTATCTCACACTTGTACCACTTCCTGCTGTGGTATGAGCACTGAGAGTCTGTCTACCCCATTCTTCTGAAATGGCTTGCATTAAGGTCTTATTCATTAGAAATATTTTACTTTTTAACCGACTTGACTATTGTGTTCCACTGAAATAGACTGCACCCTTTTTCTTGAGACCTTCTTTCATCTTGATCTTAAACCACTTTTAGGTCGTCATCATAACTGTTTCTTTTCAGTTCCACCTTGGGTTTCTTTCCTTTGTGCACCTTTTCAATCTGACTTTTAGGGTTCCATCTTTGGTCTTCCTGTTTTCTGACTTTACGATTTCCCTTATAGTTTCATCGTGTCCTTTGCTTGAATTATTACCATATATAGATGATGAAATCTACTTTTCTCCTGAAGTACTTTGTCCCTTTTGTGTCCCAAACTGAAATTTGTCTTCTCAAATGGCTGCCAACACCAAACTGAGTGGTGTTACCCTCTTAATCACAGAAGTCAGACTTGGAGAATCATACTAGATATTCTCCTCATTCTTGGCTACTACAAGTAACAATCGAAATTGCCTTGAGAAGTTCTATGTGCTCTTAAATCTGTTCTTTCTCACTCTGCTGCAGCCTGAATTCTTATTGTTTCTTTTCTGGAGTATTAAGATGTTCTCATAAAAATTGATCTTTCCTGCATTACTTTTAACTTGCTCTTTAGCAATCCATTTTGTTTTCTGTGGTCAGAACCACTCAGACTTCTCCCGACATATGAGTCATCTTGTCTCTGTTTCCTCTCTGCTGCCACGTTATTGTCATACACATTGCTGTTAGAGCACTTCTCTCATTTACTGTGATTATTTATTAATATGTCTTTCTTACACCCAGGTTATATCCCTTCTGTCTAGTCCAGTGGTTAGAAAGTAGATAGGTAATGTTTTTTGAAAGAGTGAGTGACTTAATTTTAAATTTTATGTGGGGAGGGAGCAGTTAGCTAAAATATTTATTATTGTCAAATTTACACATTGTAAACTATCCAAGTTAGGACTTCACCTCTCTTATAAGTTATTTGTTTGATTTTTTCTAATGAGAACTGTTGTGTTATTTCATTATAAGGCCAAACTCTCTGTTTTAGAGAATACTAGGTAATAAATATTCAAAATTTAGTTTGTCATGCTTTAACTTCTCTAAATATTTTAGTATACTTTTGTTTTTTCAAGTGTATGCTGTTTTTCATTGTCAAACAGAAATATTTTTAACATTTTTCTAAGCTTTTACTTAGAGCATTTGGAAGTTACTATTTTAATTCTCAAAACTGAATAGGCCTTGAAATAGACATGCAGAATAAACTAGTGCTTAGGTAAGCAACGTTATTAGATTTTTGGGGGCCTGTTTTTGTTTTCTGATCAGTGCTTTAAAATTATCTTATGTAAAATATTCAGTGGGAAGGACGTATTAAAAGGGTAGATATTCTGTAATGTTTTGGAAGTTCTAGCAAAGAATGAAAGATTCTTTTTTGTAAACATTTTACTTCACTAAGTTGATATATAATAACACAAAAATAAAATGCTTGTTGTGAATTTCTAAAGTTGGGAGAGAAACCATAGAAGGCAACTTTTGTAATTACTGATCTTTCAATACTTTGGTCTAATTAATGTATTTATTTATGGTCTATTAATTTGTTTAACAAATATTTATTGAGTGCTTAATATATACAATTTGGAGAATACAACTGGGAATAAGGCAAGACCTTGAGCTCATGGAACTTATGTTTTAGCTAGGTAAATGACATAAGTAAATAAAATACAAGGTAGTTAAGAATACTAAAAGGAAAATAAATAGGGTTGATACACTAAAGATGTTTGAAGGCCTACTTTGGACCTTTATGAGGAGGTAGTATTTAAGTTTGGACCTTATGGATAAGAGCCTCATGCCCGTTTGGGCAGAAAATCATGATATGAGGACAAAACAAATAGGATGAAGGCCTTGAGGTGGGAATAGTCTTGGGCTGTGGTTGGAGTACAGAAAAGGGGAAAGTACTGTAGAAGAAAATTAGGTTGGAGAGGTAGCAGGAGCCTCTTCACAAAGGTGCCTTGTAGGCTGCGATAGGGAGTTGTAGGTTGGGAGTTGGAAGGTTTTCAGATAAACATGCATGATCTCATTTATTGCTTAAAAAAGCACTCTGGTTGCTGTGTGCAGAATGAAGTGTAAGGAGTCAAGAGTGGAAACACACTAGTTTAGACTATAGTAACAGGAAAAGATAATGGCAATTGGTGGTAGTGATGAAAGTGGTGAGAATTTGTATTAAGGATGTATGTTGAAAGAGTGATTAGATGAGAGTGGAGAAAAGATGGGATTCTAAGAAATTTGAAAGGTTATCAAGGTGATAGTTTTATCAGTACAGTACAATTTTATGATTTAAACATGACCAGTTTCTCTTTGAGTTGAAAAATGATGAGAGTTACATTGGTATGTTTGTCTTAACTGTTTTTGCAAAAAGCAGGTCAAAAGCTGAAAAACTTGAACTTTGTTTTTATTTACTTTTCTGGAAAAGTATTAAACCATTAGAATAAGCAAATTTTACAACATTGCATTCTGGATTAGTTTTTTAAATAGTGCATAGGTGATTAACCAAGTTTGTTTTTCCCTCAGATTAATGTCCTTCAATCAAAAAGGAGATCAGAAATCCTGAAATCAGTAAGATATTTATTGAAATGATGTACTATGTATTTTAATATGAAGTTAAATGTATATATTTAAGTGTTTAAAATAGCATCATATGTATGTGTTTATTTATTGACTTATTTATTCCAGGTTTATAGTTAATCTTCTTAATGATGTTTGTATACTTACTACATGTCACTAAACCACTTTTTAAAAAAATTTTTTTATGTTATAGTTATTTATGTCTCATCCATTAATATATTACAAGTTCCTTAAAGCAGACATTTACGTATTTGAGATTGAGGGCATACATAAATAGCATCATTTTATAGAATTTTCCCCTTAGGGTTGTTGATGATGTATCAACTTTTCAGAATGCAGGTAGAAAACAAATGAGTTGAAATGTGAAGGCATGAGAACAGTGATTTTCTTATTTGCCTTTTTTTCTTTTTTCCTCTTAAAGCTAACAAGGAGGTGGGCAGAGGATGGTAGTGGTGTGGACACTATAGTCTTTTGTATTTTGAGACCCTTAGAAACAATTTCTCCTCTGATTTTGTTCACTGAAGTTCTTTTTTCCTTCAAAAGTTTTACTGAAATTGTTATTGATCCTTGTCCCCACCTAGCTTTTTCCTAAATTCTCTGTTAATATGTATGTATTTCTAATCAGATGAGTACATTATACTTCCTGTTTACATCCACTTCCTTTTCCAGATTGAGAGCAGTGTGTATTATTTGTAGAAAATTAGAAAATAAAATGCATGAAGAAAGAATAAAAATACAAAAATGCTACTACCAAGAGAGAACCACTGTTGTGGCTGACGTAATTTTTGTCTTTTTTATGTGTTTGTGCCTATTTGTGTGTGCATGAACATTTATATATACCTTTTAAAATTCTGTTTAATTTTTTTAAAGCAAAATAAAATAGGACCCATTCCTACATATTCTTCTGTAATTTTTTTTGTACTAATACACTCCAAAATCATCATGTGTTATTAAATATTTTTTTATTTAATGATGACCTTTGTGGCTAGATAGAATTCTTCCTTGTGAATATAGTAGAGATGAGCAAACATTTTTTTGAAGGGCCTGGTAGTAAACATACTAGATTTGGGGGTCCATATGATCTGTGTTGCAGTTGTTCAGCTGTGCTATTGTAATGAGAAAGCAGTCATAGACAGTATGTAAATGAATGGCATGGCTGTTCCAATATCAACATGAAAGTTAGGATTTTACGTAATTTCTATGTCGTTAGTATATCGTGTCTTTTTTTCATTTTCCTTAACCATTTAAAAATGCAAAAACCATTGTTAGCCCATTGGCCATCCAAAAACAGGTAGTGGGGCTGGATATAGTTTGTGGGTTACAGTTTTCTGACCTTGTTCAGTTCAGTTCAGTCACTTAGCCATGTCCTTTAGTGACCCCATGGACTGCAGCATGCCAGGCCTCCTTGTCCATCACCAACTCCTGGGAGTTTATCCAAACCCATGTCCATCGAGTCAGTGATGCCATCCAACCACCTCATCCTCTGTCGTCCCCTTCTCCTCCTACCTTCAATCTTTCCCAGCATCAGGGTCTTTTACAGTGAGTCAGTTCTCATCAGGTGGTAAAGTGTTGGAGTTTCAGCTTCAGCATCAGTCCTTCCAGTGAACACTCAGGACTGATTTCTTTTAGGATGGACTAGTTGGATCTCCTTGCAGTCCAAGGGACTCTCAAGAGTCTTCTCCAACACCACAGTTCAAAAGCATCAATTCTTCGGCACTCAGCTTTCTTTATAGTCCAACTCTCACATCCATACATGACTACTGGAAAAACCATAGCTTTGACATGACAGACCTTTGTTGGTGAAGTAATGTCTCTGCTTTTTAATATTCTGACCTTGAATATACCATAATTTAACTTTACCCCTTAATGGACTTTTAAGTAATTTCCCTGTTTTTGACATGAAATGTAGCATTATATAGTGATCATCCTAATGAATAATATGATTATTTCCTTCAGATAGATTAAGGCAAGCAATTACTTAGAGGATTTAAGCATTTATGGAGACTTTTTAAAAAATATTGTCAAGTTATAAGGGTTACACAAAATTTTCACTAATAGTGTGTGAGAGTAACATTTTTACATCTTTCATCAACACTGGGTGTTGATTTTTCTCACTCTATCCATAATTTGATAGAAAATTTCATCTCATTGTTTAATTTTGCATTTCTTTGATATGAATGAGTATGACTGTCCCCCTTCCCCTTCCCCCCCCTTTTTCTTGGTCATTTATGTTTTCTGTTTATGTCCTTTGTCTCTTTTCCTGTTGGGATCTTCATGTTTTTCATATTAATTTGTAACATCTGTTACCTATTAAGACTATTAACCCTTTGTCATATGCTTTTTCCTAGTTTATTATTTATCTTTTAATACACTTACTATGTATTTCTATGTGCAGGCATATTTTACATTTTTATGTACTTGTAACTATCCTTCTTTATATATAATTATATATATATATAAATTAAGCATAATTTAAAAAAATCGTATTCACAAAGTTGTACAACTAACATTATCTAATTCCAGAATCATCTTTTAGTGAGCTTTGTCCTTTTGTCACTGTTTTTTGTTTTATTGGTTTTTCTCTTTCAAAATAATTTCTTTTGAAGGATTCTTGAGTATTAAGGCCCTTATGACCTATTTTAGATTTCAGAGAATTAAACAGATGTCTCTTTTTGCTAAAAATAACATGGCTGTTCATAGTATTCTTTCAGTCCTGTGATTGAGTTGTCTAATTCCTTCTAATGTGAAAACTTAACTAATAAAAATGAGTGTTTTTTTTTTTTTCTCTCATGAATAGTTAAAATTTAGGAAAACAGAAAAAGTCTTACCCCATTAATGACAGTTTTGGATTTCCGGAATGAATATAACAAAATCTCCTTATTGGCGAAGCCTTTTGCCTCATTTTATTTTGGTATTTTGAGAAAAAAATGAGCATTCCCCTATTTCATGTTATGTTTAGTGATCTATAGGTTGTTGTAAAGTGTTTGTAATTGTTTTGAGAGCTTCTTATATCACCTTCTAATCTTTTGATGCTTTATTTTTAATTTAAGATTTTGCCAGTGAGTTTGGTTGAAAGATACATAGACATTTTATAATGTACCTGGAAAGATGGTGACACTATTGAAAACTTGATTTTTTGAATTATTGCAGCCTTTTAAGAAAAATGATTCAGCTTAATTTTAAATGGTTTGATATTTTGTGCTCTGGTGAAATAATTTTTTAACAGTACATAGGATCAGAATTTTAGTTTCAGAATATTAAGAATTGATTCAAAAATGGTGATCATTTTTTCCTCCTTTAGATGTTATCTTTTATGTATGCCCATTTGGCTTTCTTCCATCAAGGATATGATCTATTTAGTGAACTTGGGCCCTATATGAAGGATCTTGGTGCACAGGTAATGTACTGTACTTCTTGTTTCTGTATTATATACCAGTATCTGTATTTTTTTTTAAAAGTGTATACATTTGACTTCATTTCAGGTATACAATAAAATAATTTAATATGTTAGTATGTATATACTGCAAAATGATCATCACCATATAAATCTAGTTAACATCTACCGTACATAGTTACACATTATTTTTTCTGATGAGAACTTTTAAGATCTAGTCTCTTAGCAACTTTCAAATATATAATACAGTATTATTAACTATAGATACCATGTTGTCTTTGACATCCCCAGGAGTTGTTTATTTTACAGCTGGAAGTTTTGTACCTTTTGACCCCCATCTCCCATTTTGCCCACCCCCAAAACCCACCTCTAGCAATCTCCAATCTGTTCTTTCTATGAGTTCTATTTTTTTAAAATTTATCAGTTCGTTGCGATCACACAGTAGTTGTCTTTCTCTTTATGACTTATTTAACTTAGTGTAATGCCCTCAGGATCCATCCATGTTGCAAAAGGCAGCCTTTCCCTTTTTTTTTGGGTGAATAATGGGTATATATATTTTATGGGTATATTTATACCACATTTTTGAATTCATCTATTGATGGACACTTAGGTTACTTTCATATCTAGGTAAGTAATGCTTCAGTGAGTGTGGGTATGCAGATACCTTTTCGAGTTAGTGTCTTCATTTCCTTCAGATAAATGCTTATGAGTGGAATTGCTGGATCATACTGTAGTTCTATTTTTATTTTTTTGAGGAACCTCCATACTGTTCTTAAATAGTGGCTGCACCAATTTCATTCTCATCATCAGTACACAAGGGTTCCCTTTCTCCACATCCTTGACAATCTTGTCTTTGATGACAGCCATTCTAACAGGTGTGAGGGGATAGTGCATTGTGGTTTTAATTTAGAAGTCTTCCGTGATTAGTGACTTTTGGCTCCTTGTTTGCCATCTGTGTGTTTTCCATGGGAAAATGTCTGTTTAGGTCCTCTCCTCATTTTTTAATTGGATTTCTTTTTTTTTTTGGCTATTGCATTGTCGAGTTCTTTATATATTTTAGATATTAACCTCTTACCAAATATACGATTTGTAAATATTTTCTGCCATTTGGTAGGTTGCATTTTCATTTTGATGACGGTTTATTTGCTGTGCAGAAACTTTTTAGTTTGATGTAGTTTGAGTTGTTTGTTTTGTTGTCTTTGTTCTAGTACCTGTATTTTTAAAGAGATTAAGCAAATTGGGAAATTTGACATTTAGTTTGTTTAGTGTAGAAGTTTGGTGTTTTTATAGCAGATTTATGTGAGTCCAATGTGTAACCAAAAATGAGATTAAAGTTAAAGAATATGTTGTAGATAGTTATATAAGGGTACTGAGAAGAATTTTAAAACAAAGTATTTGTTTTACAGTATACATAGCTGGATTTATTTTTTTGATTCTTACATTTGGATTATTGAGTTACTGTCCTAATTGGTATTTTAGTTTTAACTTTTTTTATTTTCAAAGATATTTGAGTTTTGCTTTTTAGAATAATAAAATTTTATTTTTAAAGTATTTATTTATTTATTTGACTGCCCTGGGTTTTAGTTACGGCAGGCATATGGGACCTAGTTCCCTGACCAGGGATCAGATCCATCCCCCTGCATTGGGAGAATGGAATCGCAGCCACTGGACCACCAGGGAAGTCCCTGAATAATAATAAAGTTTAAAAATTTAAGATTAAAAGACTCTAGGTAACTTTTTCATTTTATATACACATAGACGTGCATGAACTATATATAAGAATATTATGTAGAAATTTTATTATGTCCAAATTATTTTTGATTATCTGATCAGACCTTTAGGCGCACCTGATGGCTCAGTGGTAAAAAGTCCACCTGCCAATGCAGGAGACACAGGTTCGATCCCTGGGTTGGGAAGATCCACTGGAGAAGGAGATGGCAACCCACTCCTGTATTCTTGCCTGGGAAATCCCATAGACAGAGGAGGCTGACGGGCTCCAGTCCATGGGGTTGGGATAGAGTCGGACAAGACTGAGCAACTAAACAACAATAGCAACAATCAGAATTTCATGTTAAATCTGTTCCCAGACATTCTTTTTTGTTGACTGGTGAGTTTTCTGGATTTCTGTCAATTTTCAATTGGTTTTCTTTCCCAAAATGGTTCAGATTACTTTTTGAGGAAAGGGATTAAGGATGTAAAATAGAGTTTAGAGAAATGGGGAAAAAGTAAGAGCAGAATGATAATTGCATTCATTGACCAAAAATAAATACGGTGCATGCATGTGTGTGTGTTTGTGTGTGTTGGGCTGTTGTGGGGGAAAGGTGGTGTGTAAGGTATGTCATGAGTTATAGAATTGCTCTTCCCTGCCTCTACAGAGCTTAATCTACTGGAAGAAAATAACAGGTTACCACACTATTAATCTCTGTGCTAAGTGCCCTATCTGGGTGTATAAATTGAGATTAGATTTTGTTTGCATGTGATAGAAAACCACAAACAGCAGGAACTTTAAACAGGATAGAATTTTATTTCTTTTATGTAAAACCAAAGGTCTAGTATAGTGGTCACTTAATCTGTAGGGACCCAGGCTTATTATATCTTTGGATTCTACCTAATGGTTCAGAGTGGTTTATCAGGCTTTAGCCATCATATCCAAATTGTAGCCAGTAGGGTGGAGGGGATAAGAAGAAAGATTTGTTCCCTCTCTTTCGGCATAGTTCGCCAGAATTGTACATGCCACTTCTGCATATGTTCCATTGTCCCACTAGCTTCAAGGAAAGCTGGGAAATAGTGTTAATGCAGGTAACCATGTTAACCTACTAGAATTTGGGGATTTTGTTGTTAAGAAAGGAAGAGAGAATGGATATGGGAGATAGATAGCTGTCTCCACCACATGTGTTACTACAACATATAAGTAGTATATCCAACCCAGATTTGGGAAGAAGACAGGACCTTCCCAGGCCCTTGGTGTTGTGTGTAAGTTGCTCAGTTGTGTCCAACTCTGCGACCCATGGACTGTAGCCCGCCAGGCCCCAGACTCCTCAGCTACTACTTGAAAGTCCGTGGAATTCTCCAGGCAAGAATACTGGAGTGGGTTGCTATTCCCTTCTTGAGGGGATCTTTCTGACCCAGGGATCGAACCCGGGTCTCATGCATTGTGGGCAGACTCTTTACCATCTGAGCCACCAGGGAAGTCCTCTAGGTACTCCCGACATCTTAGCAAACATTAGATTTTACCCTCATCTTACGTTAAGTATAATATAAAAAAATGCATTGGATTGTAGTTGACTGTGTCAGTAATTGTATATTTTGACATTGATTAATTTCAGTTTTGCAGTTTTTACCCTCCAAGGTCTCAGGTAATTTTGCACGTCCCTGAGAAGCATCTAAACTCTAGTGCCTATAGTGTTTGGCCTGGTTGAAGGTGCTAGTTTATGGTATCTGGAACTACAGTCATGGCAGTAGGGGTGGAGATAAATAGATACACTTGAGGAATATGTAGTCAATTCGAGAGTGGAGGGACATGAGAAGTTGAAATGTGTTGAGTTTGGGAATAAGTGGGTATATCTAGAATTCAAGAGAGAAAAACATTAAGAGAGTCAATAGTATATAATTGCTAATTGCAGTCACAGGAGTGTGTGAATTAAACCAAGGAGAGTTAATAGATATTTCAATAACATGAACCTATTTAAAAAAAAGATAAGTGACCAAGCACCACGCCCAATACTTTTAGTTTTGTAAATTAAGGTCAAGGTCCACAAGTGTGGAATAAAAGAGAATTTGACTTGGGACAGATCCCTCAGAATGACCTACTTTTAAGAAATGGCTAGGTAAGAGGGCTCCATGAGAACATTGATGGGAGAGAGGTGGAAAACCAGGAGACCATGGTAGCAAAAGACAAGGAAAGAGTGTCTCAAAAAGATGGGGGTGGTTGTCAGTTCAATGACTGGAAAGAAGGTCGAGTAAACCTAGGACTGAGAATTGCCTCTTAGATTTAGCAACAAGAAGGTTATTTGTTACTTCTGTCAGAGTTGAGGGTCTAAGAGGTAAAAGCTAAATTACCATGGATAGATGAATATGATACGGGCAAGTGGAGAACAGGGAGAACTTTTTAAGAAGTTGTATTGTGAAGGAAAGAGAGAGAGAGAGAAGTTGGTAATTGGAGAGGAGTGTGGGTTTTAGGAAGATTTTATTTAAGGTATTATTCTATTTATTAAATTTGCACAGATTTAAAACAAGTGGGAATGGGATAATTTGAAAAGCAAAAAAAGAAGTATTGAAATTTGAGGTGGTAGGAGTGGATGAGATTCAGAATATAAGTAGAGGATTGGGGGCACCTGGTTAGTTACAGCAGTCTATTAACCTCATAGTGCAATACTGATAGAAACACAGGACACATGCTGCTTTGCTCCAGTTCCCTTCCTGATCCAGCATCCAGCCCCTAGAAGACAGGACTGCCAGCCTTTGCATCTCTGCACTCATTCGTCCTCCAACACTTCACTGTGTTGAAAGATCTTTTTCTTTATACGTTTGCCCCGACAGAGGGAGAAAGAATTTTCTCTCTTTTCTGTTGTAATAGCAGTGAAGTGGGATACAGTTGAGAAGTTTACTACCAATTTGACAGTTTACTACCATCACTGGCTTTATAGTACTGGTGTGGAAGGTGTGTGCATGCAAGTTTTTAAATATCAGTTTGAATCTTGGAAGTGCCTCCTACTGCAGTTCAGCCTGAATGTACAAAAAACATTTACATCATTCAATTAAAGGCTGTAAAACCAGGGTATAATGATTATCCCACTCATTCACTATAAGAAACCATTAAGGACAAACATTTTCCTAGTGCAGCATTACCCATTAAATCAGTGTGACATGTCACTATGGTGTGTATGCCTTAGATCCAAAAGTAGAGTAATATAGTTGCCATCTAAATGAAGTATTTTGTAGTAGTGATCGTTCTGTTCTCATATATTTTCTTTTGTTTTTTTATTATTATTCAGTGATAATTAAGATTCTGTGGCCAGAATTAGTCTCCTGTAGGAAAAAAAAACACCATTTGTGATAGAGAGTCAATAAACATCACATAGTCTTTTAAGAAGGCCTTTTTCAGTTTTGTTCTTAAAGGATATAAATGAAGGCATTTGGACATTTACTACTTCATCTTTCTCCATAGTTTGTTGATATCGACATTTATTAATTTATCACACATTAGGCAGTTCAAGATGATGGGTGTTCAAAGGTGAAATGACGTACATCACAGTTTAGGATAGTAGACACACCTAATGGAGTATTTTATCTATTTTCTTTTGAATTTTTAATTTTGTATTGGGGCGTAGCTGATTAACAATGTTGTGATAGTTTCAGGTGAGCAGTGAAGGGACTAAGCCATACATATACCCGTATCCATTCTTCCTCAAACCTCCCTCCCATTCAGACTTTCACATAACATTGAGCAGAGTTCCATGTGCTATATATTAGGTCCTTGTTGGTTAACCATTTTAGATGTATTTTAAATATATTTAAATATTTTAAATATAGCAGGGTGTACATGTCCATCCAAAACCCCCTAACTATCCCTTCCCCTGAAAATAAGTTCATTTTCTAACTTTATGAGTCTCTTTGAGTATTTTAAACCTAATTGTTTGTTACTTCAGCAAAGAGGAATTCAAGAAACTAGTGCTTTTGTCATAAAACTGGAAATCAGGTATTTCTCTTCTGATGGAAAGGAACAAGAATGAAACGGGATTTTATGATTTCATAAGTTTTTACAATTTTTTTTAAAGAAAAGTTAATGATTTTATACCTTGACCTAAGGACTGACTTCTTTCCTGTTTTACTCTACTCTACTCTATTCTATTTTCTTTCTCTTTTATCTGTTGGGTTATTTTTTCTACCTTTTAGATTTTATTATAATACTCGGAAGCCAGCTTGAAAGCATCATGCATCTTGAGTGATTGGAAGTGTCTGTTATGTTGAACTTGTGAGTGCCAGCACACATTAAATTAGTTGCTAGATTTTGCTCTTTGGGGAAAAAAAATCACCAGTATATCTTCTTTCTGTCTTTGATAGTAACTGCTAGAATTGCTGAGCGTATCTAGCTGGCCACTTAATCTAGAGTAATTCTCCTTAATTAAAGGAGTGAACTCGTTATCATTGTTGTACCCTAGACAAGGCCACCTGTCACAATTGCTTGACATGTGATTGTTCTCAGAAACATTTTCCCTAGAGGAGTTTTAGACATTCTCAAAGAGGATATGAAACCAGAAAAAAAAAGAACTTTCATTTTATGGTTGTAGCCAAAATGCCTTTTTAGGTAAACCTAAGTTGACTGACTTATTTGGAATATGATTTTTGAAAAGTAATTGTATCTTTCTTTTTCAACTTTTAAGTCTCTCTCATTTACTCTTTATTTTCTTTTGCAGTTGGACCGACTGGTTGTAGATGCAGCAAAGGAGAAAAGAGAGATGGAGCAGAAACACTCCACCATTCAACAGAAGGTACTTGAGGGGAGGAGTTAGAGGAGATTAATTCCCTTTTTATACAATTTTTTGATTATTGGTTTCAGCAAGGTATCACATTGAAGTAAATTCTTTGAATTGCCTTAATAATTAAATTGTGTAGATGAATTCCTCCATTTTTGTAAAACACAAAATATTTTTCCAGTGTTGAGGTATGTATTTTACTTTTCTTTCATATCAAAATATTTGAGAGCCATGCTCTTGAACAAGTTTATAAAAAAGTCAGTCTCTTAGGGCCTTAACTGATTTAAAAGTGGCCCTTGCATGCTAAGTCACTTCAGTTGTGTACAACTCTTCACGACCCTATGGACTGTAGCTTGCTAGGCTCCTCTGTCCATGGAATTCTCCACGCTAGAATACTGGAGTGGGTTGTCATTTCCTTCTCCAGGGCATCTTCCTGACCCAGGGATTGAACCTGTGCCTCTTAGGTCTCCTGTGTTGGCCAGTGGGTTCATTACCACTTGGGCCACCTGTGAAAGCCCTTAGTTAGAATTTAAAATACTGCTTATAGTTTCAGTTAGGATATCACCAGGACTTCCCAGGTCGGGTGAGTGGTAAAGAACCCACCTGCCAATGCAGGAGACACAAGAGACGTGGGTTTGATCCCTGGGTCAGGGAGGATTCCCTGGAGTGGCAACCCACTCCAGTATTCTTGCCTGGAGAATTCCATGGGCAGAGGAGCCTGGAGGGCTACAGTCCATAGGGACACAAAGAGTCATACATGACTGAAGCGACCTAGCCTGCATGCATGCAAAATATCACCAACCCCTGTAAAAATGTGTGTGTGTGTTAACTAGCAATTTCCAGCTTCAGTCACTCTTAAGGCAACACTTACCCTCTCAAGTGATGCTGAAGTTTCACTTGCATTTCTTGTTAACTTACCTAAGCCTAGGTAAAGTAATATCTGAAAAATATGTATTTAAAAATGAAGATTTTAAAAAAAGATTAAAATGTGAAACCAGGTTTTATTTCTTTGTGCTGAAAGCTTTGAATATGATATACCTGGAACTCAGTGTAATAATATTTTATACAGTCATCAGTGTGGTTTTTTTTTTTGTGTGTGTGTGTAGTCATCTGAAAATAAAAGGATAGAACCGGCGGTTGAATGTGTGTAAAAAATGTGTGAAAAGATGTCTTCTGTAGTTACCTGGCAGGAGCAGTACCACGATTATGAGGGTGGTTTTCCCAAGGGGAGGCTTCTCCACCCCTCTCCTGCAATTTCCCCAAATGTGGGAAACATGACTGCATAATTTTTGGTAGTGGAGGACTGCCGTCATAACCTCCCTAAAAAGAAAAAAAAAGATGTCATCTAGTATTGCTTTAAGAAATCTATCCTCTAGGTATTGAGCAGTCAAATCAACTTTTGTTATGGTTTATTTAGAATTTAAAATGCCAGTAAACTAGATCTAATATAGAAGATGTCAGTGAAAAAAAAAAAGAAAGTGAAATCAGTAATAAAAGTTAAATTTTTTTTGGTGATGGGTTGTTAATACTCAAAGAGAAGCATCTTTTAAAAAGGGGAAGATTTTTTTACCAGATAATGTTTAATTCATTTCTTCTAGTTATAGTCAGGTAAGACTGCCTCCATGTTTTATTTTGTTTAAAGTTAGAATCACTTTTGGTTGGATAACTTGTTTTAATGACATTACTATGGAAAGATTTTTAAGAATTGGGACCAGTCATTTTTAATTAAAATGAGAGGTCATGATATTTAGAAGCATGTGACTGTTTAAACTGAATTATTTAATGAATATTATGCATCTTTTAATATGTTTCCCTATTGTATGTCAGTGTCATACTGAATGTCCAAGAGTAGTAGATTATTAAATCTGATTAATGAATTGGATTTTAAATAGTGATCAGTTGTTGTTTTCCTTAAAGAGAATAATGCTGTTTTTGCTTATTATGAGTACTTAACCTTTTTTTTTTTTTGGCCCTTAAATGCTGACCCAAGGCTGCATTACAGGTAAAAAAAGGAAAAGACCTAATCAAACTAAAAAGCAAGGAAACGTATGTCTAATGTAATTATTTAGATCTTTTGGAATTGAAATAGATCAGTTGAAGAAACAGTGGTGCTGTGCACATTCATGTACATGCCTTTTGGATATGTGCACGAATTTCTGATAGATTTAGACCTAGGAATAAGATTGCTGGGTCATACCGTGTGTGTATGTGTGTATATATGTTCAATGTTAGTAGATAATGCTGTTATTTTTCAAAATGTTATACCATTCCGGGTAAGCAGAACTGTGTGAGAGTTTCCGTTGCTCTTTGCCACCTCATCATATTGTGAGAGTTTTCAATTTTTTTTTTGCCTATTTTGGTGAGTAGATATGGACATCTTGTGGTTTTAATTTATGCTTTAGTCACTAATGACCTTCTCCGATGTCTGTTGGTCATTTGGATATCCTCCTTGTTAAATGTCTGTTAGTCTTTCTCTCACTTTTCCATCAGGTTGTCCAACTAACTGTTGATCATATCCTCAAATATTCTAGACGTTAGTCCCCCTTTGGGGTATATACATTTTAAATTTTCACATAGTTTTAAAAGTATCTTTTCTGTTCGGTGCCTTTTGTGTCCTTCCCAACCCAAGATCACAACAATATATCTCCTGTAAAATCTTCTGTTTGTGTGTGCATGCTAAGTCGCTTCAGTTGTGTCTGACTCTTTTCGACTCTTTGGACTGTAACCTGCCAGGCTCCTGTCCATGGGAATCTCTAGACAAGAATACTGCAGTGGGTTTTCATGCTCTTCCCAATCCAGGGATTGAGTCTGTCTTTGGCAGGAAGACTCTTCTTCCCACTAGAACCACCTGGGAAGCTTTGCTTTTTATATCTAGGCCTTTAATCAGTCTGTAATTGTGTGTGTGTGTGTATGTGTGTGTGTGTGTGTGTGTGTGTGTGTAGTTTGAGGTAGAGATCCAGTTTCCTTTTATTTTCACATTGGTAGCTAGATGATCTAGATTCGGTTATTAAAAAGTTTGTTTTTCCCCAACTACTCAGTGTTGTATACTCTTTTACATAGGACATTTCCATACATGTGAGGTCTGTTTCAGACTCTCTATTCTGTTTCATTGGTCTTTTTGTCTTAATTACACCAATACCATGCTATCTTAATTGTTTTAGCTTTAAAGCATATCTTGGTAATCTGACAAAGCAAAGCCTCCTACCTGCCCTTCTTCAAAAGTGAATTGCTAAAGTTCTGTATGTCCATATAAATACAGCGGCTTTTCAGGTTGCATAAAAATAGCTTTGCATTGGATCTGTGAATGAATTTGGGGAAGAATTAATATCTTTATTTTAAATGTCTTCCAGTTCATGAGCTTTGAATATTTCTCTGTTCATTTGTTTTTTAAAATATCCTTCATAAAATTTCATCATTTTCTTTATCTTTTGGTAGGTGTATTTCTAGATACTTGTATTGGAAATATTGTTGTAAATGTTATCCTTTAAAAATATATTTTCTCACTGTTTACTTTTGTTGTATATTAGAATAAAATTTGATATTTGCGTGTTGATTTTTTAACCAGTAGTAGTCTTTTTAAGCTCTCTTTACTACTACTACTAATATACCTCTGAATTCTTTTGGATGTGAAGTGAACAGTTACATCGTCTGCAAATAATCCTTTCCTTTTTGTTTATCTTGCTGGCTAGGACTTTCAAAATAATCTTTTTTTTTTTTTTCATTTATTTTTATTAGTTGGAGGCTAATTACTTTACATCATTACAGTAGTTTTTGTCATCAAAATAATCTTGAATCAAAGTGCTTATAGTGGTCTTTCTTGTCTTGCTTGCAATTTCAAAAGGGAAAATTTCATTTGAGTCCCTTCATTGTCTTGCCTTATATTCCTTGGGCTCCACACCAAAGCTTCAAGTTCTCCTGATAAGACAAACCTCTGATGTTACAAAGAAATCTTTGGAATGTTGCCAAACTCGATTATATCTATTGCTGACATAATTTTGTCAGAATAATTAAATAAATTATAGCTCCAAATAAATTTTAAATGAAGGAATTAAAATTTCCTTGATTTCCCACCCCCCAAAGTAAAAGCAGAAAGAAATGTAGCAGTTTATTTACAGATTATTTCATTTGATTATTTTGGATTATCATGTCCTTCATGATTAAGTTTTGAGATTTATCAGCAGTGTTTGCGTGTAATTGTGAAGTTTGCCTGCTTCCTTTTCCCATCATCGTGGACTCTAAGATTTAGAAAGCTCTTAGGTGATTATCACTCTGCTCCTCCAGTGCAGAACCCCTGCTTTCCAGTATTCTTGGCAGATGGTCATCCAATCTCTACCAAAATCTTTCTCAAGTTGGAAAGTCTACTCCTCTCTTAATAGTAAAGCATTCTAATTTTGCTTATTGGTCCAGAAGTAATTTTGAAGTTTCAAGACTGATTTTTTAGAGTTTTCAATTTGGACATCACAATGATTTTTCAGTTTTGTTGAAATTACTTTGGAAATTCAACAGGAAATATTTTAAATATAGAATTTCTGATTTTAAAATTTAGTTGCTCCTTGGAGGAAAATTGAAAGTTTGAATTGCATTCAAGTGAAAACTAGGATGGTTAGATGATTGAGGATAACTATGAGTGATTTTATAATCCTTATAAAAAAGTGAACTTGGAATGCCTACTTCACACTGTGGTGGTGCTTCTTTGCAAAAATAAACTTTTTGTAATTCTGTTCTTGAACCCCCAAATAGTGGAGTTATTGTTTCTACCAAGAACCGTATAACAGTATAAAACTACCATAATAGTAATATATTTAGAAAATAGTGGTAGATTTAACTAATCCCAAGTAGAAATACATATATTGCTTTAAAAAAATTGTTAGCAGACACATCAATATTGGGATTAAATGAAAACATTTAAAACAACACCCATAGAATATCACGTTGTTCCCTTTGTCTATTTTTTACATATTATTTTGTCCTTTTAATAACAGTGTGTACATTTTATTTATCCAGGTTATATAATTTGTAAAATTTTTGTATTTGTTTTTCTCTTTTAATGTGTATTCTGTATAGTTGTTTGTCTTATTGCATAATAGTCCACTGAATTACATTAATATGTTGAAGCATTCTTCTATTATTGAACATTTAGGCTTCCCCTTATGAATGTTGTTGATATAACTATCCTAATACAATGCTTTTCTACTGTTTGAGCTGTTTCTCTAGGATAGATTTGTCTAGGGAAACCAGTAAAAACCATACAAACTTTTTAATGTGTTATTTTGTTTAGGATTTCTCCAATGATGATTCTAAGCTAGAATATAACGTAGATGCTGCAAATGGCATTGTTATGGAAGGTTATCTGTTCAAACGTGCCAGCAATGCCTTCAAAACTTGGAACAGGTAATATATTTCAAACACTAGTCTTGCTCTTTCTATATCCTCTGTTTTCTGACTTTCTCTGTGGTTTAGTGACTCTTTCCTTCATAATTCTCTACATTCACAGTCCCTAGTAACTTTTCTGAACTACGTGTATTGGAGATAAGTTGCCTCTCTAGGAAAAAGACCTTAAGAAGCAAGTGAAAAATAACACTAGCAAATCTAAATTGTAAAATTTGAGCAAAGTTTAAATCAGGAAGCAAGAAGAGTTTTTATAATGCTTGGTGTGTAATGACTAGGTTACTACAATGAATAAGTTTTTAGATGTGAGCTTCCTCTGATATTTGCTATGAAATAGATCTGATTGGAAGTTATATATTGAGTATAATGGATGAATAGGACAAGTGGGCTTTTTTTCCTTTTTTGGGTTCCTCCTTTGTATGTGTGTTTATATACATATTTACTTAATTTTGGCTTGTGAATCTTTAAGTGAGGTGATCCTGGTTTCTTGATCTTTTCAATAACTTTAACCGGGCTTTTTAGAATGTGGGATGAGTTTTATATGTGAAGTGTATATGGCAGCTGGTACTCCTTTTTTCTTAACTTGATGCCTACTGAAGACTTAAATGTTTTTTCTAAACTGATTGTTTAAAATAAATGTTGATCAAATAAATATCTTTTAAATGAATATGTAAAATATATTATTATATTTCTCATGTATTAATAAAGTGAAGTAACTTCAGACATGAAGGCAAAAGGAAAGAGTGATTGTCTCTGGATCATCTTTCTGAATAGCAGTGATTAGTCTTTTTATTCAAGGATAACTCCTTTGTGGAAAAAGAAAGAATTATTTTGTAATAGTTGAGAATAGTATCAGATTCTGGTTAATTGATTTAATTACTATTATTGGTTGAATGTGTATATTTTATTTGCTACTTGAACAGGATATGAATTCACTTAATGATAGAGAAGATTGTTTTCTTTTTTAAAAAAGTGGACATTAGCAAAATAAATAGAATTTTCTTGGTAAGTTTAATTTGGTATACATTTTTGCTAATTTAACTGGAAACGATTATGCTTGAATATTCAAAATATTGAAATGGATTCTTTGTGCACTTATTTTGAGTTCTTGGTGATGAGGTTATATTCAAAAAATATTTACTGATACTTTCAAATGTCATTTTAGTATCACTGTGTCAGTGTTATTTGTGTCAATTTAGTGTCAGTGTCCTTGAGTATCTCCTTAGCATTTGATATTGTCAGATGTTTAAATGGGACATGGTGTGTTGTATTTGAAGTAATTGTTCTTTACTTGAGAATGAATATAAAAGGGAAAGAATGGTGATTGTATTTGATATTAAGTTTCTTTGAGTGATGTAGAACTTTAAAAATAATACTTGAATATAGGAGGATCTACTCAGATGGCCTGGTTAAGAAAGAAGGTTTTAACTGTTGTAAAGTAAAAATGTAAAACTGAAATTCTGTTTTCTAAACTGTAAAAATAAAGCCAATAATCTTTTAAGCCTTTACTGGCAAATTTCCCTGACCAGAGTAGGAAATTAATATAAGAAATAGTGTGATTGTCATTTTTTAAATGAAGAGTTTTAAACCAGTACAATTTCACGAGATAATGTTAAAATTGAATTTTAACCTTCAGATTTCAAAACAACTTTCTTAAAATTTAACACAGTGAAAATACAATAAATCCATAAAAACCATACCATTATGTTAAGAAGAAATGAAATGAACTTCCATGGAGTACTCTTAGTCAGAAATGCTCGAAGACTTCAAAATGAAGCACAATAAGTGTTAGTGGAAAATTACATTCCCATTTAGGACAACAGAAGAAAATTAATTAATTCAAGCATGGATCTTTTTGTTCTTATATGTTTCATGAATTTTATTAATCGGCATAGACATTAAACCATAACTAAAATCAGTAGAGAATAGCTGTTAAATTCTCAATTTGCAGATATGTTACCTACCATTTGCCAAGTAAGAATGATAGTAACTTTGAAAATGATGCCACCTTTTAAAGGAGATGCCATTTCTATATGGTAGGATAACAGTTATTGATTAAAATCACAGATTGTAGTTAACACCCTGATATTTAGTAAAGAAAATGGAAGTGCAGGGACATGTTTGCTCATTCAAGGTCATATACTTGGTTTGTGACAAAATTGAGGCTCAAAACCTGGCATTTTAGGAAAGTTGCTATGAAAATGCAAACAGTCTGTATTTTGATAAGATACGATACAGCTTTGGTAAAAACAACAACAAAAATAGTTTAAAAACTATTTTAAAAAACTTTCCTAATGCATTTGCATTATTAGGAATAAATTATGGATAGCAAATTATTCATTTTCATATACCTTTAAAGAATATTTTGATGAAAACACTAATTAAAAGCAGACTTATAAATAATACAGCGTATAAACATAAGAAACTCTTGTCAAAGACAGAAGTCAGCAACCTTTTAACAAAAGTCTTAAATATTTTACAGGTTATAGGTCAATAACTATAAAAGGGAGAAGAAAGAGAAGCCTCTTAAATGTTACTTAGAATTCTCTTCTGCTTTTCAATTTTAAAAATTTGGAATGTATCTAAATTTTTTTTTTAATATGAGGTTACCAAAAATCTAGTCTCAGGAAATATTTGCAAATAATTTCCTTTTACCTATATATGATCTCAGACTCTTTCCTACTTGTCTAGTAAGTTCTATGTCCAGCTTAATTTAATATATTTTACTAGCCTCTGAATAAAAGACTGTGTATTTGTGATATTTGTGCCTTAGCTACAAAAATCCAGGAATTCAACTGTTCAAGCATACAGATTTTTTTCTGCCCACTTTTTTTTTTTTAAGGTTGTTTGTGGATTCGTTTTAGGAAACATACTTTCTTGTAGTCACTCTGAGAGGTTTCAGTCATATGATGACAAATTTGCTTTTGTCTATAGCTTTATGGACTAGAAGCACACATATTTCAGAGTCAACTTTTAAAAAAGATCTTCCTGAGAGAAATGTGAATTTGACTAGGAATTTCCAGTCAGTTTTAAAACCTGATGCTATATTTCATAAAATCTAAGTATAATTTGAAAGCATAATTCTGTAATCTGAAATTTAACCAAAGAGATGGTATTTTTATGTGGTATGATTGAAATGGTGTAAGAAGTGAAATGTTTTATGTCTTATGTGAATTGTTGAGCTTATTTTTCTCGTTGGTTTCAGATTTCTAATTTGTAGTGTCTCTTAAGATTTTTAAATGTCTGTAATATATATTTTTTGAAGATGTGATATCTACAAAATAGTCTTTCCAGACCATCTTCTCAGTGTGGCAACTTCATTTCAAGCTCAAGTCAGAGCTAGATGGATTACTAATACCTATATTTCTCTTTTGCTTTTCATGATAAATTTAGAAAGTATGAAGGAACAATAAAAATAATTAAATATTATCATTATTTAGTAATGAACTGTTAAAACTAATAAGGAAATGGAATAATTAACACTGTGCTCGGTCTTTGTTAAATTGGAAAATGTAGCTAAAAGCATAAAATGTATTATACAGTATCTTAAAACAAAGTATTCTGTTTCTAGTACAGATAGAAATAAGAAGTGCATACATAGATTAAAGATAAACTCTACCTATGTGTGGCCTTAGAGTGTCTGCTATCATTTGATGAAAAGAGGATGAGCCGGTGGGAGGAGCTTTTCCTTTTGAAATGTTCTCATTTGTTTCAGGTTTATGTAGACATAGCTGTAGTGATTGTTTTCTTTAATTTTTTAAGATGAAAAAAGGTACTATTTATATTTTAGAGATATAACCATAGAGGTAGATAACTCCCAATAATAGTAAATTGTGCGAATATTCTCAATAGTAGAGTGTACAGAATTTTCCCTGCCATAATGCTTTGAAGAATATTTTGAATATTTATAAAATATTAGCCTTTCAGATTCCCAAGTGTTGGAATTAGTTATATAAATGCGTATATCTATATCTATATATATATAATATCAGCAAAATGCAACAGATATTCTTGATTCTTTTGTTAGGTTATGAGCTTAAGCTGGTTCCTTTAATTCTTGCTTTGTTTTCATATCATGCTAGTCCTTTGCTTATTTTGCACATTTGCGTTTTCATTCTTTTACCACCTTTCCCTTATGTTTTAATCCTGCCCCATTTTTTCACATGACAGGAAAAAGCCCGATCATATCAGGTACCAAATGGCTTCCTTCCCCTCACCCCTGCCTTACTCCAACTTCCTCTTTGGCACGAGAAAGCTCGTAATTAACCTGCATTTCAGTTGGATTACTTGCAATGGATATAAAGTCTCTTTATGTTTTAAATTGGGAAGAAAATGTAAACATCTTATTTGAGGAACAGAATTATACCTTTTCATTGCTTATATCCTCAATTTGTTTTAATCTGGAAAGGAACATTTGATGTGTAAATAGTTGTCCAAAGAAGACATAGCTTCAGTAATACGAGTACTATGAGTAGGTATGTATGCGTGTATGTGTACACACACGCACATACATTTATACACACACACATATGTATATATGTAGGTATGTGTTTTTTAGGGGAAATAAGCTAGTAAATGCTTTTTAAATTTTTGAAGTAGTAATTAGGTATTAGTCTCTTTGGTAATCACCTTATTAATTATGTTTAAAAGAAACATTGACAATTCCTAGCTTTTTTGTTTGTTTTACCACTTTGGTCTTTTTCCTTGTGAAAACTAAATCGAATTTTAAATAAAGGAACATGTATATGTTTAAGCTTTTAATTTTACTAAATGTTAACTATTTGGCATCTATATGAATCTGCACATGAACCCATCATTTGTATGGTTTTAGTGATAAAGCTTCTACTTTTAAAAATAAATAGTGATAAAGATTTAAAAGTTTGGCTTTTACCCATGTTCTTGATTTCAAGTAAGTCCTGGGACTAGTGTTCAAAAATTGTAAAAGATACTTGATTTATTTTTTAATGTATTCCCCCTCAATTTTGTCATATAGAAACTCTCATTGATATTTAAAAACTAATATTTGTTTATGAATGAAAATTTTGGTCTAAAATTTTTATTATATTGTTGTTGTATCAATTTGAGATAGATATAAAGTGGTGTCTTAGTTTTCTTAAAACCTAAAAAATTTCACTTTTGGATACTTATATTTTGGCTTTTTGGTCAGTTTATGAATCTTGTAGAATATAGTATAGTTGTCAGCATAATGCTTTCCAACATTTGTCTTTTTTATTATTTAATTACCTTTTAAAGTATCTTCAAATTGTGGGTGGCATGAGCTTGAAATATTAAATATTTTTCCATATCTGGTAGATTGTGAATATTTTTCCTTTTATTGGAGGTCTTAATAATAACTAGGATTATTCATTCTATAGGAGCAAAGATTATATTTTATTTTGCTTACCTGATAAAAGTCTTGATCAATGTAAATGAGTATAGTTAGCTTTTTTTTTTTTAATGGTAGAGGAGGGGAGATAGCATCATAAGACATACTGAGTTTAGCAATTAAAATTTTTTTCTACCCAGGATAGTTGTGATTTTTTTCACTTAGGAGATGTGAAATTAAGATGAATTCATAGTGTCTTGAATTTATAATATAAACAAAAATTGATGATGTGAGAAAATTCCTCATAAGCAGATAAATGGCAGGGGAACTAAGTTTCAGAAATATAAATGATCTATAAAGTTAATAAACAGAATCTAACAAAAAACCATAAGTTTTTATCTAGTGTTTTGTTTTTATGTTTAGAGGCTATTATTCTAAGATTTAGCAGGTCAAAAGAAATTTACTTTCTGATGACCTCAGAAGCATTAAAAGTTTACCTGGTTGCTTTTCCATTGTTCAGTGAAATTCTTCGTAGTTTTTCATCAAATTATATAGTATTACTATATATAAAACAAGAATTTTTATTAATATAGTTTACTTCAAATGATTTTTAAAATAATACTTGAATCAGTATCAGAGATTGTTTCCATTGCATGTCATCCCATGTGGCAGGGCTGCACCATTTTGTTTGTTTGGAGGTATTTCCTTTAACATTTCTAACCAACCATGTGTCCCAGAACAAAGAGACCGAGAAGTTCTTCCTTTTCTAGCCCATCTCTTGATGATTTGTGTTTAGAGGCAACCAAGTTGGTTTTATCTAGATGCTTGTTTAACAGATCTGTATTTTAATGGTAAAGGTGAATACCTTTTTAAATAGCAAGAAAACCTAACAATCTGTCTAGCTTAAAAATAGAAAAGCATCTAATCATTTTCTCAGCCTTGGAGAATTAACTTAAATTTTTTGAAAAAGAAGTTCTAAACGTGTCTAAATACAATTTTTAGTGCTTTGTACTAGTATCAATGAAAAGGTAGAATCTCTATCTGCTAATAGATTAATAACTAATGTTTACAATAGAAATCATCTCACATGTAACTAATTTTAAAATAATGACTCAAATATTGTTTTACCTTTCATGCTTGATGAGAATTTTTGCTTCCTTTTATGAATGGCTTTTGGCTGTGATTTTTTTTTTTGTAAGTCTTCAGGTCTTTTATTGTTTTAATAAATTAGAATTAGTAAATATGCCATACATAGGTTAGTTTTTTCTTCTGAAGAGGATTGCAATAAAATGTCAATTAATTTACAGTAATGAGCAGAACAATATAAATAATTGGGTGACTCATTTTTAGTAATAACTTTGATTTTTCTGCTAAGAAGTATTTTACATGAAAGTAAGGCCAAGAGAATTGGCGACAGTCTCCTATTTGATATCATTTCTAAAAGGATGATATAATTTTCTGTTTTGCTTTACAGATCAAATGCTTGTTGAATTAGGTGCAGAAAGGTTGAAAACAGAGCACCATTTGTTTTGGTCTTTTATTGTATACAAATGAATAGTCTTATTTATAATATAAATTTATTTCTACTTTATAACACAAGCAAATTATTTTGGGGGAAAGCTTTAGTTATTTTTGGGGAAGCTCAAAAAGCTAAATTTTTATTTTTAAAAAAATTATTATTTGATAGTGGCACAAAGTATAACAACTTTTGTTAGGATATAAATTTCTGACATAAAAATGAATAAAAAATATGGTAGTTTTATTTCTTATTCTGTGGTTTTAAATTGCCTGAAATTTTTAATTTCAGTAGTTATCTCATTGACATCAGTTTATATAAAGCAAAACAAAACAATGCTCTTCTAAAAACTTAATTACTATAAACTGTTTTTCTAGTACTTTCTCAAATATTTTGTTTCTAACAACAACTGAAATAAATTATGTTTGTGAAAATGTAATCTATTTTATATTTATTTAGACGCTGGTTTTCAATACAGAATAATCAGTTGGTTTACCAGAAAAAGTTTAAGGTAGGTGTTTTGTTAAGTAATTAAGTGAAAACCCATTGAATCCTCCCGTTTTTATCTGTTCCTGTTGGTATAGCACTGAAGTTCGTAAATATGTATGTGTGCAAAATTATCATTTGTTAGTTTTATATTTGGTTGTGTATAATAGGACTCAGGAGTGGAAAGTATCAACATTGTTTACTGAATTCTTAATTCCTGTCTTTGAGATGGATTGTTGTGTGTCTCAGGATTACTACTTTCATTGCTTCACATATTTCTTTGTCCATTTGTGAGACAGGAATTCCCTAATACTGTTTTGGTGCTAAAGGAAAGGTTGCATTTAAGAACTATCACCTTAGGGCCAAAAGTGGTAATAGAGAAGGGTTAACAATTACATTAAAATATAAGCTTGAATTAATTTAAATAGAAACGTCTAAATTTGTTAATATTGTTTTTACGTATTTGTTTTCTTGAGCCTGATTTTAAGAGTGAGGTATTTTCATTTAATGGAAAGGCATAATGAGATTATATGTGACTTGATAATGTTAAAGATAATTAGAGAAAAGAACTATTAGTTAATTGATGATTTGATTTTTACCTAGTTAACCTTTATGAATAATATGTTCAACTGTAAATTTCAAATACCCACCTACTTTCCTCTTGAGATGACACAATGTGAAATTTTACTTGCTAGGTTCTATGGTAGCAGGTTTATTTCATACAAATTCTTTAACTATTCAGTTCATGTTTTTTCTACCCTGATAAGCTTGGTTTTGAATTTTCTATTTTTATTAAGTACTAAAAAATGATTTAAAAAATTCTCATTTTCTTAGATATTTTAAGAAGCATGTAAAAGCTTTTTGTTTTTCTTTCAGTTATTAAAACTAGACTCATGAAAGGCTTCTTTTTTGGAGGAGAGTGGCTTTTATCATATGTGAGTGGGGATCAGGAGAAAAATCGATTTGAAAGAAAATGGAAGAAAATTAACAGGAAGCTAACATTTATTGAGCACCTGCTAATTGACTGTGAAGTGTTGGACTAAGTTTATATGAACTATTTCATTTAATTCTTATACAGCAATTTTATGAGGCAGATAAAATTAATAGGACATAATTACCTTTATACAGAATTAGTTATATCTATATTGATAACTCCTATTTCTGATCTAAAATAAGATCAAATATAAACCTTTAAAATTAGACCATTTATTCCAAGTACTGTTTTTTTTTCCAATACTGTTTTTAAGTATATTTTTATAGGTAGTGATATTTTAAAGTCTAGGTTGATAAATACAGGAGTTTTGTTTCCTTGTTATAGGATAATCCCACTGTGGTGGTGGAGGATCTCAGGCTCTGCACAGTGAAACATTGTGAGGACATAGAACGGCGATTCTGCTTTGAGGTGGTCTCTCCAACAAAGTGAGTGGTTCTAAAGAATTTGAGAGTTGTTTCCGTGTTTCTATAGGTTGTCTTAAAGAACTTTCCAGAATACAGAAAGATTTGTTACAGTTGTAAGAGCTAAAGAGGAAAAAAGTGTTCTCAAATTAAATTTGAATTATGAATGATCACACACATATTAATGATTACAAGTCAGATATTTATGTAACTTTTATGCAGTATCATAGTCCTTAAATTCTGATGATTACTATGGCTATATGGAAACATTTTAACTGTCATGGTAATGAGCTGAAGTCATATATCAGATAAATTTCTTTGATAACTTATTATTTCATATGTCTCCCCAATGAAAAATATTAATGTTATTTTATGTGGCAAATTTAAAGTTTTTTTTTAATACACAGAATAGATGATTTGTTTTCAGTAGGTAATTTATTTCATTGGCTTCTTAATTTCTTTATGAACATACTACCTAAAGATAGTGAAATAAAACCTTTTAACACATTATTTTTTGTTAGAAAATTATATAGCAAAGTTGACAAAAAATAAACCTTATTTTTTGGGTTAATTTAGTGTCTGAGAAAACAATGTTATTTCCTTTTAGAAGTTGTATGCTTCAGGCAGATTCTGAAAAGCTGCGCCAGGCATGGATTAAGGCTGTTCAGACCAGTATTGCTACTGCTTACAGAGAGAAGGGTGATGAATCAGAGGTTAGTAAACAGTATTGCAATACGAAGTGATATTTTGCCAAAGTTTTTCATTTTAATTGTAACATTGCATGATTACAACATTCTTTTTTTATGGAGGATGATTTTTTGGTATTGAAATGGGTTTTATTTTTAAAGTATACATTTAGTTTCTTATTTATTTCTCTTGACTTTTCCTTTAATTCCAATATTTCAGTGTATGTTTAATCCAGTATTTGAATATGTGTCTCAGGTATTCTGATGCAAGTATTTTTCCTCAAATACTTTATTAATCTAATAAAACAGTGAATGTGAAAGGTAAACACTAAAACTGGCTGAAGAGCAAAAAAAAAAGGAAAGTTCATTATTTTTTAGTTGAAATCTCCCTGGAGAAGATAAGCTGAATATAGAGTCTGGGGTTGTAGTCTGGAGTTAGCTACCCAGTGAGTTTACAGACTCTTTTGAGCAAGGCCTTGAGTGAGTCTTAAGAAATGAAAAATGTCTTTATTCTATCCTCACATTTGTTAGTTTGGTTAAGTGTGGAATTTTTAGGTTGGTAGTGATTATTAAGAATTTTAATGGCAGTGTTTTCTTGTTTCCAGAGCTGCTGTTGGAGTCTTTCTTGTTAGCAGTCTTTAATATTCCTTCTCTCCAATTTCTTTGTTTTCTTTTTCTGAAATCTTTGGACTGGTCTTATGATTCTCTTATTTTTTGTGTGTGTATGTGTGTGTTTTTTTGCTCTGCAATCTGGGAGATTTTACCAGTTAGTCTTCCAAACCTTCTATTGAATATTCCAGTTGTGCTAGCACATATTAATTTTGAAGAGTGTCTTTTTGTTTATTGAATGTTTATATACATCAACCTGTTCTTTTTTTCGTGCATGTGGTGTTAGAGTTGTGTTTATTAATCTTGACTGCACAGTATGATAATACAGGAAGTTTTAAAAAATCCTGGTGCTTAGGTGCCACCCCAGAACAGTTGAATGGAGTTGGGACCCAGACATCAATATTTTTAAAAGCTTTCTACTAATAGGTGATTCCTCTGTTCAGGCAGTGTTGAAAACCATTTTATTAGGGGCTTTCCTTGGCTGTCTTGTTTATCTGCTCATGGTTGCAAGTGCTGTAAGAACATAGGCTTTGTTGACTGTGAGCTTCACCAAAGTGTGGACCATTTGTTGAGGAACAATTCGAGTTAGGATCTTTGGAGTCTTTTCAGCTAAGATTCCCCAGAAAAGACTCACTGTTCTCCTGTGTAGGAGTAAGGGGCTGGCTGGGAGTTAATTGCTGAGGAACCCAGCATTCAGTTATGTATATGTTCATTTAATCCTGTGCTACCTCCTTTTAGGTAAATGCCATCTAGTCACTTTCTGTTTTCTTTCTCAGTGAATGAACCTCTTGTCATTCTTTGTATGTCTTTATATGTCTTGTCATTCTTTGTATGTATTCTATGTCTTTGTAGTGAATAGTTCACTAATGGCAGCATTGGGGAGGGGACCTTTGATATAACTTCTTAATAATTTCTCTGACTTTTCATCCCCACTTCCAAGATTAACTGGTACAAATCTTTGAGCCTTTTGTCTATTATGCAATGTCAATTGATGAACTCTTAGATTTTTCTTACTATTTCCTTAGATTTTGCCTTGGTCTACTCTGTTACCATTCATCCAGCCACTTTGCAGCTCCCCAAATTTTGTTGCTTATTTTCTTTTCTGTTATCCCTATTCTTGTGGATAAATTTTTTTTTTAAATTAAAAAACCTTAAGTTTCTACATACAGTTCAGTTGCTCAGTCATGTCCTCCAACTCTTTGCGACCCCATGAACTGTAGCACACCAGGCCTCTTTGTCCATCACCAACTCCTGGAGTCCACCCAAACCCAATTCTATTGAGCCGGTGATGCTATCCAACAATCTCATCCTCTGTCATCCCCTTCTCCTCCTACCCTCAATCTTTCCCAGCAACAGGGTCTTTTCAAAAGAGTCAGCTCTTTGCATCAGGTGGCCAAAGTATTGGAGTTTCAGCTTCAACATCAGTACTTCCAATGAACACCCAGGACTGATCTCCTTTAGGATGGACTGGTTGGATCTCCTTGCTGTGCAAGGGACTCTCAAGAGTCTTCTCCAACACCACAGTTCAAAAGCATCAATTCTTCTGAGCTCAGCTTTCTTTATAGTCCAACTCTCACATCCATACATGACTACTGGAAAAACCATAGCCTTGACTAGGCAGGCCTTTGTTGAGAAAGTGATGTCTCTGCTTTTTAATATGCTGTCTGGTTGGTCATAACTTTCCTTCCAAGGAGCAAGCGTCTTTTAATTTCATGGCTGCAGTCACCATCTGCAGTGATTTTTGAGCCCGAATAAATAAAGTCTACAGCTGTTTCCACTGTTTCCCCATCTGTTTGCCATGAAGTGATGGGACCAGATGCCATGATGTTAGTTTTCTGAATGTTGAGCTTTAAGCCAACTTTTTCACTCTCCTCTTTCACTTTCATCAAGAGGCCCTTTAGTTCTTCTTCACTTTCTGCCATAAGGGTGGT